TCTCCATAGTAAATGTCTATAATGGGATCAAATAGTCCCACCAGTTGAGCAACACAGAATATGATTTGGCACGTACAATTCTAAGACAGAGATGCATGTAGCGATAGTGATGGAGGAGATTTGAACGGTTTAGGTAATAAGATTTATTAGAAGACTTTTTTCGTTTTTTTTTTTTTGATATTGTGTGGTTTACGCTAACTTATATTAAAGTGGCATGATTTAGCACGGACTATCCTAGTACTAAGATAGAGATGCATGTAGCGAGTTAGTAATGTAGAGGATTATTGAACGGTTTAAGGAATGAGGTTTATTAGAAGAGTTTTTTCGTTTTTTTGACATTGTATGGTTTAGCCTAACTTATATTAAAGTGACTAAAGTACTGTATTGATGATAATAGCAGTATTTAGTTATTTTATATGTGTAGAATTTCAACTTCTAATTATCGTTTCAATTTTTTATTGTGTACAAATTGTTGCACAACTTCAAATCTGTATATTTTTTTAGCGAATGGAATTTACTTTTGAAAATGTCGACCAAATTGGTCCAAATCTACCAAATTTGGGAGATTTGAAAAACTACCTGCGTGAGGAGAAGCCGCTTTATTATCAAGCGTTGGAGAAATATTTGCGAAATGCGGCTCGCTTGGTATGTTTATTTTGATGTGAAATTTTTTTAATAGCAAGCCATTTTTATTATGTATGGCCGAACCTACAAATAATTTGCTAACTTTTGATGCTATTGTTATTAGGATTAATGCCAGAAGAGTGCACAAAATTCTAGACAAGAGAAGAAAACCTTCTCTTGTGTGGTCACTCAAATATGTAATGAAAATGTCAATGTAGGGTATTCAGTGTAGACTAAAAAAACTTTCCATTGAACTCTTCATTACCTGCTGTAAGTGATATTCTTCTTTAGATTAATGACTTAAGAGCGAAATTGGAGAGAAGTGAGCATGAAGCTCACGACGGAGGAAGAGTTGAGGGGACGCAACCTGAAAATGAGGAGGATCTCGTGCCCCACCCCCTCGAGCAGCAGCAATGTGAAGAGCAGGAAATGATAGAACCAGTACCGGCACTGGTTCACGATGAAGCAGAGGGGGGGGAGGAAGACGAAATAGCGGAGTGGTCGCAGGTACCACACGAGCCTTCCCTCAACGAGGAAGTTGTCAATGCGGTACCAAGGGCCCCAGTAGTGGTCCGGAAACGTAGAGAAGTGATAGCAGCTCGTGAAATTGTATTGTAAGTTCATTTTCTCACTTATAGAGATGTGTTGAAAAATACTAATTGCGTAGTATGAAATACCGAATTCAATTAATTTATAAGTTTATTTTAAAAAGTATGCATAATTTATTCACTCGGTCCATGAATATCTTTCTTAGCAAATGAGCAAATGGGATGAAAAATTAATTACACAACAACTTTGAATGATGTCCAGTTGCGAATACATGTTTCAGGCGTTCCCGGACAATACAAGTCCCAATTGTAGAAGAAGTAGGACACGAGGCGGTACCAGCAAGCCCGGTAGCCTTCCATGTGCCGGTCGTGGAAGGTTTACCGGCTCACTATCAAGAACTGCTGGTTGTACCGGAAATCGACCCGTATAAGATAATTAGGAATGACGACGGGTCGGTAATAATTGGTAAGTGGAAACTAATTTCATTGCTGCACTGAAATTTAATTCAAATTACTTGAATGAATTTGGAAGCATCTAATACATATCTTTTCAGGATGCGGCATGTGTCCTAAAGAATTTGGGACTCTAAAGGGATGGCGAATCCACGCCGCCAAAATGCATACGCAGAACGGTGAGTTTAACTTCAAAAAGTATTACTAGTGGTTAGATTATATATATATATATATATATATATATATATATATATATGTATTCATTTATTTATTTATTTATTTAGTTTTTTATCTATTTATTTATACAATGTATTTAATATATATATATATATATATATATATATATATA